TATTGCATCAAGGTGCACGGACAAGTGAATACATTCCGAGCTTATCGCAAGTTGATGGGCCCGCTCTGGTGGATGACTGTGTGCTTGTTGCCTGGTTGCGTCAGTTGTGTCGGCATGGTGCCCCCAGGTGGTTGCGTCCTGGCCTTGTAGCGGTTGTGTGGTTGCTTGGGCCGCTGTTGCAGCCGTGGTTGGTTGCACTCCCCCTGCCCGTGCCTTGCCACGACACTCTGAGCTGTTTCAAGCAGGGCGAGAGCCAATAATCCATACCGGTGCGGCAGGTCCAGCAAATCGTCTGCCCACCACTGGCAAAAAAATGCGAGGACCAGCCGGAACGCCAAGAAGTGGTTGTGTTATCTTACACAAGACCCCTCCACCATCACTCGAAGAGCAGCCGAGCTCCAGCACGTGCAAGCCACATTGGCGACGAGCTCGAGCATCATACAGCAAAGGCAAAAAGGGCCTACAAACAGCACAAACAGTCGGTATGGATGCTGCTCAGCTTCTACGAGCCTACAGACGACATGCATGCAGTCAAGACCTCAAGCATTCCATGAAGACCCTTTTGACCAAACCGATGGGTAAATTGCGTGCAGTTCCACTGCTGCCGAGAGGAAACTTCGGGCAACATCGAACGTTTCGACAACAAAGCATACATCCGTCAATAAACTAACTATTGTCAATCGCATGGTACAACAACTCACACAAAAATGGGAAGTGAAGTGTCGTGTGTCTTCAGCCTGCGCGCGGCTGTGCCCCGAAGCAAAACCCGCACGGGGGCCTGGAACCAACTGGCTTTGCAGCCACACCTTCCGTGCCCATGCGTTGGGATATGTTGGGATACATTCTTGCGGCCTGAATGCCAAACATCATGAGCAGCAGCGTGGCCCAACTGAGAGGATTTCAGGCATGTTCCGTTGATGTTGGGAAATTTACCCTAAGAAGCAGCTTCTCGGCATGGGGTGCTGTTTTCTAGGCTATGAAACCGCATCACTCATAAATGCCCAGGCCCTACCTAGCCCTCAGTTAACTCACGACCTAAGTCCCACAAGCCGCGGCCCACTGCACTTAGAAGGATAAGGAGGCAACGCTCGGCCCCCTGACACAAAAAGCGTGCCCCCCGAGACAACTCGAGCACTGTTGCAGTTCACAGCAACTGCGAGGCATAAGCAGAGAAAGTGGCTTGCATGGCAGGTGGGCGGCTGCACAAGGTCATGTCTTGTCCAGGTTGCCTTGCTTGGGTCTGCGTGGTTGAGTTTACACTTCTGTATGTCCCAAGTGTTTTTGTTCATCACCAACTTTGCAGATCCTATTGCCCTTTCTTGCTGAGCATCGCAGATAAACCCGGATAAACCTCGGAAGTATGCCTAGATCCAGAAGAGGAGTGGCTGACACGCTCGACGCTCAACCGATCCAAGATCTCGATACCAAACATGGTCAAAATGTCACAAAACCAGTCAAAACCATCCTTTTTCGATCTGGAGTGCTGAAATTCAGGTCCAAGAAGACATCGGCGAACATGCTCCAATGTGTCTGCGGCCCAGCTCTGCTCGGGTCTCAAAAGCGTGGCATGCAGATTCAGGGGGTGTTGAGGTTGTGTGGCTGGTTGTCTCTTTAGTCCCAAGTGGTCCCTGAAATCAAGCCACAAGAAGCGTAAAGATGGAGATTGGTGCTAGGACACCGAAGCTGTATGTGACAGCCTCACTCTTGGCCTCCTCGGCTGCAGTGAACTTCACGATCACCACACCCTCTCCCCCGTCGCCACCGTTGCCTCCAGCGCCAAAATTCGTCGACCCGCCGCCTCCGCCACCGCCCAGACCGTCCTGGCCTGGCAAAAGCAGAAGACTACCCAAAGAGACTCTCGCTTAACATGAGAGACTTTCTCATCTAAATATGCACCAGCTGAGGAAAGACTCAGAGGATCTCAAAGGGGATGGTAGGGGCATCCTGTTCTGACTGAGGCTGAAGCCCTTCTTGCCGGGATTCTTTCCGCCAGGGGCGCCACCGTCCCCACCCCCTCCATCTCCGCCCTTCGCCGTCTTTTGACACCTGGACAGAAGTCGAAACCACAAAAAGAACTGAAACATAAATAAACAAAAAAGAAACACTCACTGTCCAATTATGCGCTGCAAAGATCAGCCTGGGATCATGCGAGCCACCGCCCCCTCCACCACCATAGCTCGCCTTCCTGCAGTGCCAAATTTAACAGTGTGCCCGGAACCTTTGCGCGTTCAGCCTCCAGTAAGCGAGATACATTCTGCGAGAAAGCATTCCACTACCGCCGTCAATACTCAAGTAACTGAGCTACGATCTGCCATAGTAGAGTAGTAGGCAGTAGGCATTCCACTACCACCTGCTCCACGTCCCAAAACTGCCAGGCTGCTTCCCTGACACCTCGGACTCAAAGCCGTTACCACCATCACCACACAGCGTGTTGGTTCCACTCTTCCCTGCGCCGCTGGCACCACCGCCTCCACCCGCGTTCCAGGTGTGAGCCGTGCCTGAGCCACCTGACATAGAACACGACACGGGTCGCACATACAAACCTGCCCACTTCCGCATAACGTGTTGTGCCAAAAAACGATGACTTTTTCTTGAAAGCACGGCCTGAGTTTCCATGGCCCTCCGTGCCAGAATCGCCCGACTGCTTACTCTGAATTGACTTGCCACCATGTGCGCCATACTTGCCACCGCCACCGTTCCCACCATCGCGGCCTTTCTTATCACCGTCACTGCCACCGCCTCCACCACCCTTTGCGACGAAGTCCCCAAACTTGGAGTCCTCACCGCTCTTTCCTCAGAGACACACGAATCTCACAGGAATCACACAAATACCGTGCTGAGGCTACGTGCTGACGCCACGTGCTGCCCACAGCGGAATGGCGCAGAGTCTCCGTCCGACGCGGAGCCACCTGTTCCGTGGCCACCCTTGCCGCCTGCACCCACCTTGATCCTCGGCTCGTGCTCGGCTCGTGCTTCTCTGGGTTAAGCTCTTGGCGGCCTTTCTGGCTGTGGCACGTTCTGAAAACTCTGATCGCATTTGCACAACTGCAATCCCAGAGTCTTGTACTCGGTGCCTTTTTTGGCTTGGAAGTCCTCAGGCTTCACTCTCAAAAGGCCTGAGCAGTTCGAGCTCTCATTAGCCCTGAGATTTCGGCACAATGGGTTCATTTGGGATATTGTGGGCTACTTTGGGGATGCTCCTTGATCTCCACCACACCGCCGCCGCCCCCGCCTTCACGCAGAGGGATTTTGATCATTGGCTTTGAGCCGCTTTGGGTCGCTTCGAGGACTTTGAGAGGCTTTGAAAGGTTTTATTTTGCTTACTTTTGCCTACTGTTGCTTACTGTTGCTTACTTTTTTTGCCTATTTTCTCTTAATTTTGCTTACTTTTGCTTACCTTTGCTTTCCCCTGCCTCCGCCAGACCTCCCGCCGCCTCCTCCTCCACCACCCACGATGAGGATGGTCGCTGTGCCATCGGCAGAAGGCGTCCAAGCATCGCTCCTAGGGTGGCGGCAAAGGTGGCAAACTCCTGCTGATGCGACTTCGAAGAATTCGCCAAATGCGGTCTGAGAGTCTTCGTGAACGTTTTCACCTCAGCCTCAGCTGCGAGCCCCGCATCCTCAGCTGTTCGGACACCAAGCACTAGTAATTCGGGACAATCATTGTGTAGGTAGGCGTGGGAACCACAGTTCCATTCGAAGCTTCGGGTCTGTGACTTGGCCCAAACTGTGTTGATGACAAATCCAGTACGCTGTTTTCCATTGTGTCACGCAAGAAAAGCAACATGCAGCTAAAGGGGAACAATTCGAGAAGAAGGCTTCATAAAACTCTCGGCAATAACTTCTGGCAGCACGCACTGCAGTTAGCCAACGAGAGCAACACATCATCATTTGACTCCGAGAAACGATGAATCTGCTCTCCTCATGTCTTCTGATAACACCAACACTGTCCATCGGCCTTGGTGAAGGTGAAGCTGAAAATGTCCTCCTATACACCGTGCAACTCTTCCACGAAGGTTGCTCGATATGCACTTTGCAAAATTCAATGCTGCTGAGCATCAAAGGCTTGAAAAAAACCGTGCCATCAGCATCCACTGCTACACTGGTCTGGTTCACGATGGCAAAACACGAAGGTAGAATGAGCAGAAAACCTTAATTGCCACAACACACAAAATCAGGGCCGCGCAATATTGCTAAACATTGACACTCAAAAAGAACCAAGATGCTGATGGCGAACATCAAGCCGCGCCCATTGCCCAGCAGGGCCGTTTCTTTGAGCCCCTATGGCTCCCGGCAGCTAAATTGAAAAACCGATATCGCATGTCGTCCAACACTAATTTTGCTGCAACCTCAGGGCCGCGGGGAAGTGGGTCCCCTTTTCGTCCCCCCCCTGAAGCCGAAATTCGAAGCCGAAATTTGAAGCTGAAATTCGGCGCGCGCTTACTGAAGTCGAAGATCGGCTGAAGTCGAAATTCGAAGCCGAAATTCCGGTTTCTGACAATTTTCCTTCTGAGTTCAGCGCCTGCAACGGACATGTAACTTCAGGTGAAAACATTGGGGTGCTACAAGGTTCTGTAAAGCTTGTCACCCCGCCTAAACATAGCTGCGTCTTGCAGCTCTGTTTACACAAATTGTCGTCACTTCTCTTGACACGTCAGCAACAACGTCGTGACTGCAAAATCTGTACACATACACATCGGTAACTGCATGAGTCCAATGTGCAAACTGAAAGTGAAAACCATCGTGTGAAGGAGCCGGGCAAATATCTTGTCGCTCCTCACACTCGCACATCATCGTGCCTTGGAGCCGGGCAAATATCCAGTCGCTCCAGGCACTCGAAAGCATTGTGGGTGTACGAAATCACCGCCACGTGGTGCACCCGGGCTTCGTCTTCAAGATCGAAGTGCAGAGATTTCTACGGCATCGGGCCGACGTTCAGTGCATTGGGGGCACTGTTGGCTCGCGGAAGAACCCGTGTGATGCGAGTGCTGTACTTCTTGATGTGGATGGTAGGCTGGAGCCTTTGTGTGCACACCGTGTGGACCTGGTTATGGGACCCGGGGCAGCCGTTGTCTGTGCACACCTTCTGTGCATTTGGCGGCCCTTTCCTCCTGCAGGCTTGGTTGGTGGCAGCAGCTTCAGGAGCATTCCTGTTCTTTCGAGACAGCCCTGGACTCAAGCGCAGGTCGCATCGATGGGGGCGCTCCCGATCGTGCGGCCATTGGAGCTGGAAGCAACGTCGTCGTCTTCGAGACAAGGTTGGGCTTTGGGGGCCTCCGAGGCGTACGTGCCAGCCGTCTCTGGCTTCAGCTTTGGCTTGCTACTTGCGTGGCTTCGCGGCTTTTGGGGCCAGCAGGGTGGGCAACAGGCGCCGAAGGTTCGGCCGTTGGATGCGTTGGCGACTCCGGCGAGGGGTCATTCGGGCGCGTTGGCAGCTGATGGGCCATGCAGGCTTGCTGAGTCGTTCACATCGTCGTGGACGCGCCACTCGGACGAGGACTGAGCTGCAGGGTTTAGGTTTAGGGGGTTTCGACAGCCGTGTGCGGGACCGGACCCGAGGACCGAGAAAACATTTTAAGAGCCTGAGGGCCGATCAGGGGGACCGGACCCGAGGACCGAGAATAGTGGAGAAGAGCCAAAGGGCCACGAGTACGGTGATGCAGGGCTTCCCAGCCGAGCATGAGTCAGGGGATGGCGACCACCGGCCCTTTGGGCCCCCCGGGCCCCGCCCTAGCACTCCGTGCAGCCATGGACCGGTTGGATTTCCTTCGCTACGTGGCGGCGCAGTGGAGCAGAGGGTGCGGAGCAAAACCGACAAGATCTTGGATGGGCTGGCATCGCTCCTCGACAGCGTTTGGGATGATGAGGCGCCTGGCGCCACCGAGGATGAGCCCAAGCTTCAGGAGCTGTGGGAGGCACTAGAGGACATCGTGAGGACGCGACCTGGCAATGTCGTGCAGCGCTTGAAGAGCTTGGTCACGCGCTTCCGGAAGGTGTGCAATGCAGGCCACATTTCGGCGACGCATGCGCAGCATCCGGCAACTTCGGCGACCACACGTGCAGGCCGGGACGGGCATGTCAACTCTGGGACTAAGGACTGCGAGCAGGTCAGGTCTGTTAGAGTTGAAGGTAAGGGTTTAGGAAAGGGTCAGGGCAAGGATAAGGGTTTGAGTGTTACGACGCCACCATGTGGAGCGGCCGCAGAGGAGGCGACTTGGACTCAGGTGGTACGCCGTAACCGCCTCAGATCTCAGGACCAGCCGCAGGGTCGAAGGACTTTTGCGTGCGGCAGGGCACGCAAGAATGACTGGACCGGTCCGGTCGCTACCACCAGCGAGGAGCTTGAACAGTTGATTCATGTTCTGAAAGATAAGGAAAAAATTGAGGAGAAAGGATTGGTAGCGCTGCCAAATTCGCCTGCTGAGGCGGCGATCATGTGGCAGCTGCTTGCGGCACACGAAGCAATTCAAGTGCTGTTTGTGTTCAATTACGAGACTCAGCCCAATTTTGCTGAGGCCACAAAGGAATCTCTAGGTGTGGAGCCTGCAACGTGCTCCATTCCTCTGCTCTTTGACGGGGGACTTCGTTTCGTGCGGCGCTTCACGCTTCGGCGGGGAGCGCATGCGCCTAAGGTTCAGGTTGAGCAGCGCGCAATCACGGCAGGCAGGACGGCCACTACCAACTCGGTCGTTTTGCGTGCCAAAACGAGGCAACTGTTTGTGAGTCATTTTGACCAGATTGCTAAGGCGCCGGCTACGGATGTCCGCCGTTGGGCGGGGCAACACCTTGATTTGCACAAGTCCATTCGGGATTCATGGGGTTGGGAACGGATTGGCAAGGATGATCTTCAGGGTTTGATTCGGATTGATGGCGGTCGTGGGGATGCTTTCCTTTCGGCTAGTGGGCTTGAGATGGGAGGGTCGCGTTGGTTCTTCGAGCCACTGCGATGGGAAAGCCCATTATCGGTCACTGCTGCCCCGGGCGTTGCGCCGCACACGGTGGGCGGCGAGGACATCAAGGACATTGCAGTGCAGGCAGGATTTAAGGACGTGGAGCTCTTAGAAGTCTTTCCGTGGAGGCGGGCTAAGGCGTGGAAGTTGCGGGCGACCCGTGAGGACGACACTTCGCACATGGAGTTGAACGCGGGTGATTTCACTTTGATTGCATCTTGCGCCATCGGACGAGTGGATCGGCGGAGGCATGAGAGTATTGCGCCCGAAAAGCGCACCATCTTTGCTGAAGGGCACCGTAACAAGCAACCGGCCAAGGCTACTTTGGACATGTTCATGGTGAATAAGGCCGGCTTCCAACATACTTTGGAACCCGAGGCTCCACGCAACGACGCGGCAGACCCGACTGGCCTCAACACCGATGGTCCTCAGACTGCGGGCGAAAAACGTGAAGGCCGTCCGGTTGATGCGGCCGTTAGCAAAAGAGCCAAAAAGGAGGAGACGGGCCCACGCATTGCGGGCCTGGAGGTTGTCCCCAACGCGGGAGAGGGCAATTGCTTATTCAATGCCCTCTCCGACGCATTTCGGATGCGACACTCGGGCAACATCAAAGGTCCGGGAGTTTTGAGGGCCATGGCGGTTACCCACCTGCGAAAGTACTGTGAAGTCTACGCTAAAGCTTGGGATCGCAGCACGCCAGACGCGACCCAGACAGTTATGGGCGAAGATGGGTTCGACAAGTACCTGGACCTGCTGGCGAAGGAGGGTGCGTGGGGATCGGCGCTTGAGGTGACGGCCATTGCTAACACCTGTGACGTTCCGGTTCGGGTTGTTACTCAGGGGGCCACCTACATCTTCAATGGCAAGGGCAAGAAGAAGGCGCTCTATCTCCGATATCACCAGAGACACTACGAGGCGCTCAAGGGCGAGGCGGCTGACGATACGGCTTGGGGCACGACGCTCGATGGGCCGCGGGTTGGGCTGCGAGCCGGAGGAGACGAGGACCTTCGTTCTGTTGGGACGGCGGCTTCAATGCGATTGGCCTTTGGCGGAGGCGCTCCTTCGTCTGTCGGTGTGGCGTCGGCTCCTTCTGAGCTGCGGGCCGGTGTTTCCACGGACAATGTGGGTCCCACCCGGGAGGCTTCGTCTTCGTCGAGTGTCACTAACCCCTCCGGCCAGCGCAAGTTGCATTGCTTCTTTCGGGCGGTTTCGCCTGCCAACACCAGCGCCGTTGCGCGACAGCGACAGGGACACGAGGTGGTTTCGCACACTGAGCCCGCTTCCTCTTTGGACCTGGCGGGCGACACTTCGGGCGTGGAGGCTGGGCCTGAGCCTCCCAGAGAGGTTGCGGGTGACGCCCGCCAAGGCAAGTTTTTGGCGCTTCGGGAGCTGGACGGCATACCTGTTGATCGAGCTTTGGACGCCGTGCGTGGCAAGAACAGGCCCCGCCGCAGTTCTCTAGGTCGCACTGCTCTA